TCCGGGCCCTGGCCCTCGGGCTCCCGGCCCGGCCTCGGCCTGTGCTCCAGCATGCTGCTTACTGTGCTCTGACGCTTGCGGTTGGCCATGGCGGACGCTCACGCGGCCATCGTCACCTGGGGGCAGCCGCTGGGGGAGGAAGGTCGGAGAGAACAGAGTCAGAACCCCGAAGAGCCACGGGGGCCGCCAGAGCCACGTCAGCGCACGTCTGTCCAGACCACGTGACGTCCCACCCCAGCCGGCACGAGCCACAGAGAGCGGGGGACACGCGGGGCCGGCGGGGAGGACGCAGGCGCGTGGCACCGGCTCGCTCCTCACTTCTTAAAAATGCGCACCGGGCTTGGGGAGCCCAGGTGACCGAGACAGAGGGCCACGAGGTCAGGCGATTTGCTCTAAGAGCAGCTTTCGCCCAGAAGACACGCTGAACACCGATGAGGCCCCGCACCGGCCACCGCCAAGTCCTCAGCCTCACGGACGCCGTGGAAGCTCCGTCCAGCCTCCCCCTCCAGGGGCCTCTCCAGCCTCCTCGCCCCAAGGCCCACGTGTCGCCGAGCGGCAAGATCTGCCAGGCACCGTCCAGGCCCGCACCATCCACGGACAGTGAGCAGGAGCCCAGCCTCGTGGGCCCGACGGGGTGGGGGGGTCCAGCAAGGCGGACCCCGGGAGGCTGTGGGCCCCCAAACCGGGCACTCTGGGGAAGAGAAAGCGCCTCCCACTGGAGACAAAGGCGGAGGAGCCTTGGCTGCTGTCAGGCCTTGGGCAAGGCATTTCTTGGAGGGGGGCCTTCCCCGCTTGGGACGCTGGGAACGACGGCGCCTGTGCGCAGGGCTGGGCGCGGCTGACGGGACAGTAACCCACGCAGGCCTCGGCCCCACGAACGCTGGTTTCTGGGCCACACGCAGGGAGCTGAGGCCCCGGGTTCCAGGAGGTGCGCCGAAGACCAGGCCCAGAGCTGCGGCTGGTGCCGACGTCGGCGGCCCTAGGCCTGCCTCAAACAGAGGCGCGGGGGTCTCTGAGGACACCCCACTGCCTACGGAACGAATGTCGCCTCCTTGCCAAGAAACACGAGACGCTTCCCAGAGGCCCAGGCCCACCACCTTCCCCCCCTCACCGATTCCTGGGGCAGGGGCGGGGCCGCGACAACCCTCAGCCCTTCTCCAAGCTCCTGCTCCTGGGTCCCCTCCCCTCCCCGCCGCAGACAGCAGTGGGTGACCTGGGTGTGGAAGGGCCTTTCTGACTTCTCCAAGCTCCTGCTCCTGGGTCCCCTCCCCTTCCCCACCGCAGGCAGCGGTGGGCGACCTGGGGCGGAAGGGCCTTTCCGAGAACAGCAGACGCTTCGAGGTGGGGCTACGACTGAGGGGCAGGGGAGCTGCCCCGGAGGGGTAGGGGGCCCTAAGAGCTTCGCTGGGCCCCGCGCAATCTGGCCCCGGGCTAAGCTGACGTCGGGAGCTTTGTGCCCGGGAGATAACAGCTGCTGAGGCCCATTCCCGCCACGAATGAGAATTATGACCTGCTGGGCTGTGCATTTGTAATCAGACCCTGGCACGGACACCCCCTCGTAGCCGCTCCGCCCACGGACAGCGCTGTTAGCTCTGGGGTGTGTTTCTGTCGCCTCCTTCACGCGACGGAGGCTGCGAACTCGGCCCTTCTCTCTCCGCTTAGCAAATAACATAAAACAAAAAGGTAACGAGCGAACGAACGAACGAAACAAACGAAAATCAACTCACAGACACAGACACAGAACGCGGGTCGCGACAGGAAGTGGGGGGTGACTGAAGTGGGGGGGACTGAAGGAAGGTCAAGGACACGGCGGCGGGAGGTGCCGGACTCCGGGTGGTGAGCGCACAGAGCACAGACGTCGGTTACAGATCTGTGCACACGAAGCTCACGTGACGTTAGGAACCTACGTCATCTCAATCGAGTTGGTTAAAAAGGTTTTTAAACTTTAGCTTCCGCCTGAGGTCCAGGCCCCTGGACGGCTCCGGAGGGGCGAGGCAGGACAGAGCGAAGGTCCCCGAGCGGGCAGCAGGGCGCCCTCCCGCAGACGTACCAGGCCCTGCGGGTACGTCCGGTCAATCGGGGTCACGGCGAGCCCTCGCCGCGGCCACCGGAAGCACCCCGAGCTCGCGGGAGCGCGACGGGACCCGCTGCGCACCCAGGAGAACGTGGCCCCGTGTCCAGGCCGCTACTTGCGTCCATCGGCGGAAAACGCAGGCCCCGCTCCGAGCTCGCCGGCCCCCTCCCGAAACACCCGGATGAGCCGTGGGAAATACAATTCTTCACCCCAAACCACGTTTTCCTCCGCCTGGGAGAAAGCGGACCAAGGAGGAGACAGCCATTCGGGGGCCACAGTACGGCCGGGTGGAAACCTGATCACGCAAACGAGATGCGGACGCGGCCAAGCGGTCCTTGTCCTGGACCTCGTCCCCTCGGCGGATCTCCCATGTTGTAAAGGGGATATTCTATCTTTCCTTTCGGATACGGCTTCACTGCTTCGACGACACCCATTCGGGGTCGGCGGTCCGGGCGGACAGCGGCGCCATCGGCCCAGCGCTGCCGACGCGCCATCGAACGCGTCCCTTGCTGAGAGATCACAGAAAACCGCGCGCGGTGAAGGTGGCTGATCGAGCTTCTGCACCAGGCCGGGGTCCACCGCGGCCATCCGAGACCCGCGACCCAGCCCGGGGCCACAGGGGGTGAAACGCTGGGCAAAAACGTGTCATTAGATCCTCCCTCGACGGCGGGATCTAATTACGCCCACGACGGCACATCTGGAAGACAACGGCACAGGGCTTCAAATATTTACAGGGAGGTCATCGCCTAAAATGCAGCTGTGCTTCATCACACGTGCACACACGAAGAATAAACAGGGAGGAATTACGTTAAAACGTCAGTGGGGTTGCCCATGATGGGACAGAGGCCTCTATGTCCCTCGTTTTTCATTCTGCGGACAAGGACTACAGGACAAAGCAAGGGCCGAGGGGCGTAGGCCCCCTGCGGCCACGCCCGTCAGCGACCCTTCCGCAGAGGCAGGTGCGGGTCTCAGCATCTCTGGACGGAGGCCCAGGATGGGGGTGGCACTGCTTTGCCCCATCTGGACTCTCCACGAGCCGGGGGATCTGCCCCCCGCCCCCACGCCATCTCAGAACGAGCTCCAGCGAACGCCCGGCCCTCGAATGCGATTAAAAGTATTTGGCGCTTCAGCAACGGCGAGTCCTCGGGAGCTGGGACTGTCGCTCGCACCCATAAGGGACGGCAACAGCGAGGCGCCTCGCGCGGTTCTGGGCTGGCCGGAATGCGCTGCTCCTTCCAGTCACCCCGGGCCGTGGCGAGTTCATTCTCGCCCGCGGGAACTGCTGCGCCAGATTATTTTTTTTAAAAAAAGTGACCTTGGTGGATCAGAAACTTTACAAACCGCTGACCACGGACGCAGACGGGATGACGCTGAAGGCACAGCCCGGACTCGCCGGCAAAGGTGGGCGAGACGCCGCGGTCCCTCCCGAGTGGCAGATTCCGGGACAGAAGAGGCCTCGAGCTGGCAGAGGGCATTAGGCAAGATGGACGGGGACACTCGACCCCACCCGTGTCCACCTCCAGGGCCAGGCGACCACGAGTGTCGGGGTTTTGTCACCGAGGAAGAAGGGTGTGGACAGTGGACGTCGGGAGACCAGCCACCCGCTGAGCCGCTTCCAGGACAGCGAGGGTGACGGCGAATCCGAGAGCTTCGCAAGGCCAAGGTGGGGATGGCACCGCAGGAAGCGACGAGCAGCTCCCCAGGCGGAGACACGGCTGGCATCAGGTGACCGCACGCGAGGGGACAGCGTGCTTCCCGCGCCGACTGCAGCGTCTTCCCGTGCGCCGACGCTCCCGATGCCACCGTCCACCCTGCGGCTGACGGGGGCACGGTCACCCCCCTGGAGCCCACGGCCAAACTCTGGCGTCCATCAGAGCGTCCCTCACAGGTCCTGCCCCCGGGGACCCCGCCCCGCACAGCTGTCCACACCCGCTTCCTCCCCATACCGCCTGTCGCAGCTGCAGGGACCACGTCGGGGGACTGAGGCTTCCTGCCCCAGGCCGCTGCGGGCTCTGCGGGCTGTGCGCTCCCTCCCACCTGGCACTGGCCGAGGCGCAGAGGGACGGAAGGTCATGTGATCAGAGGCTCCGAGGCGCCCGGCGGGGAAGGTGGCTATAGAGCGGGTCACCGTGTGGCGATCACGCCAGTGAAAGCACAGTCACCTCGGCCACCGCCCTGGCTGAGCACCCGGCCCGGCTCCGGCCGCACGTCAGGACAGCGGCAAACTGGAACCTGTGTCAACCGGCGCGAGGTCACACGGCTGGCCTCCCTGCGTCCCTGCCCTGCTGTCCCTTCACCTGTCCCCCACACACCTGACTCCTGATCTGCCACTTGGGTACAAACATCACTGTGCAAGGAAGAGCCTGACACAGTGGACAGACCTTCGAAAGCCCCATCAGCATAACAGTCCACGTGCCCGAAAAGTCCTGGTTTTGTTTGTTTGTTTGGTAAGTGTATTCACTCAGCCGAGAAAGGTTTTTCTTCTTCCTGATGTGACAATAAGCTCTTCCACTAATGGTGTCCAGGACCTGGGCCCCGAGCTGTGTCCACCTGCTCCCCGCTTCCCACCCGCTGGCAAACCGAACTGGTCAGCACGCGCCCTGGGCTGGCAGCCAGGGACACGCAGGAGGGGGGCTGCCCGCCGGTGGCTGAGCTTGTCCCCCTCGAGAGAGCTGGGGACATTGTCTTTTAAAACAGGAAAATGTCTTCTACTAAAAATGCTGTAAAAGACACAAATGAGGGACTCCGCTCGTGGCGCAGGGTCCTCGCTCACCGTACTGTCCTTGGTGGCATCCGCTTAAGAGGAAGATGGCCTGGGGACATGCGGTCAAGGTGGCGGCGGAGGCAGGCGGGTGCTCGCCTCCACGCACGCCAGAATCACGACGGCGCGGCCGACCAGCCAACGCTCGAGCCGCCTGACGAAGTCCTACCACCGGGGACACACCGAAGAGCCACCCCGAGGGTGAAGACGAAGTCACTGCTTCCTCCGACGCCTGCACGGACCGTCGAAGTCTTTTGCTGCAGGCGGAGATGTCGCGCGGCCGACCAGCCAACG